GCATTGCTCAGCATGCAGGCTCTTGTTCACTACTGGCAAAAATGCATAGCTAATCATGTTGACTATGTTGAAAAATAGTGTTTTGTAGCTGAGAATTTGCTCTGTCAAATAGTAATATTGTCTTCTTTCTATCTGTTGTAGTTTCCAAGAAAACTAATAGAGGGCATTACTTCCGGAGTGACCTACATAGATATTTAGAATAAAATAATGACGTCTTTGCTTTGCGAAAGTATACAGAATACTGCTGAAAGTAGTGAAACTATGTAACAAGGCAAGAAACTGTATTGAAGTAAGAACATATTTTGTTATTACAAGTAGATGGAAGGAGATAGTAAGAGTTGAGACAAATTCTTCTTGAATGCGTTACAAATAATGCAAAGTAATGAAAAAGTGAAAATAGTGTAGAGACAAACACTCAAGTAATGGCTATGTGTTGTAATTTCAGCTGGCACTGAGTTAATTTTGTCTACTGCATTTGTTACCATGTTGTGTTTTGGACTTACGATGAAAACAGTGTTGGTAACACACTGATGTTTTAGTTGGTGCTGAGCAGGTGCTGCACAGAGCTAAGGATGTTTCAGCCAATGCAGGGTTGGAGGTAAACAGAGAGCTGGCAGGGGACAGAAAAACACCTGATCCAAACTGGACAAAGGGATATTCCATACCATATGGCATCATGTGGTGTGCTGAAACTGGGGGTGTTGGCTGGGACCACTACTGCTGCATGGGACTGTCTGGGCATCAGTTGCTGGGTGCCGAGCAGTTGTGTTGTGCAGCACTTAATTTCTGTGTTGTTTTATCTTTGTTGTTATTTTCCCTTCCTTTTATGTCCCATGTCTTTATCTTAGCCTATGAGTTTTACTTGTTTCCCAGTTCTGTCTGTCGTCCCTCTGAGGGGAATGATTGAATATCAGTGTGGTACTGAGCTGCCTGCAGCTCATCACACCATATCATCTTGGTTGCTTTTGTCACTGGAGAGAAACACTGAGAGCTATAGTTTTATTTTAGGATGCTTCCACACGAAAAAGGAATTTTGAAGGAAATTCAGTCAAGTCTAACAAAAACAAATTGGATTTGGCAACGCAAGTGCTTTTTCTAATTATGTTAATGTGACACAGCCTGATTGTGTCTCTCAAAGGCCGCTGCAGAACGTAATCAGTCTCTAAATCAGAGTAATTCTAAGAATATCTAAGAAATTCAAATATAGCTGTCAGAGGAAAATTGCAAGCGTTCCTTGAAACATGAATTCTTTACTAACCCGAATTTGTTTCTATCAGTCTGCATTTGAAGATCTGTATCTGAGGATTCTCAAATCTAGCTTTTAGCTATCACGTTCATTCAAGTGAATTGGACAGTAATGCATTTTATAGGTCATTAAAAAAAAGTCATGTTATGAAAGAGTTAGTAGCATGCAGCAAAATATTCAGTGTTATTTTTAGCATTCTTGAAATATTTGGAGGCGTGATCAATGTATAAACGGAAAGGTAAGTTTATGTATGCAAACAGGTACATAGGCTTCAGTAATTGAGCAGATTGCCTAATTGTGTTTCCAGACATGCAGTTGCATATGCAGTCTAAAAGCATATGTGCAATTTGGTTTATGCAAGTTAATGTAATCAGAAGTGTTGTTGGCGAACTAAAACCCATAGATTGAATATAATCACTAGGTGTCAGCAGTATCAGAGGGGGCAGAGCTTCTGTATTTAGTACTTCACTGCTAGAGAGATCCCCAAGTGGTTTTTCAGGAAATGAAGAAGTACAAAATCTGTGAGTGGAAGAGATTGTCTTGTATATGGCTTCTTATTTTTGTTGTGGCAACCAACTAACAGGGGCAAGGAGTTTTTTAGTGAGTGCAGTGGAATCACAAAATTCAGTGGCAGAATTTTAGTAACTTCAAGTTGTGATGATCTGGATGTCCTTGCTCATCAAATGGAAAAACAAAAACAAAAACAACAAAAAGCAACAACAAATACAAGGAAGAAAAAAGAGTGTTTTCTTACAGTGACATGACTGATTTGTTTACTGATCATTTTCCTCTAACATATTAAAGTATAAAAATATATTGCTTTAAATGCATAGTTAAGTTGTAACTGAAATTGTTTATGTTGTCTTTAAGCTGTGTTCCTGTATCCTTATATCACGTTCATACAACAGTGCTTTATAATTCAAGATGATTTTTATCATTATAATCATTTCTTAATTATTTGCATGTAAGCAATTTGTATGTATGGTCATTGCCCAGGTTGGGGGAAAAAAAGCCCACATAAAAAAAAAAAAACAACAACCTGTGAAAGCACTAATGAATAGTCAAGGGAAACAAACTTGATAGAATTACATAAGGGAGAAATGAAATGTTAGGATATGTAAGTTTAAGTCAGTACTGATAGATTTTATGAAGTGTTTTGAGTACCTGGTACTCAAAGTGTTCTGTACTGACTTTCTTATTTTCTTGCCAGGTTATCGACTGATGGTCCGATAGCTGAGCAGCTATAGTACAGAACCTTTTTTCTTACTAGGGCTTCTGAAAATATGTCTGTCTAGAGCGTTTGCATGACTCACAATCTCCAGACTAACATGATTTATAGTTCATTTATCTTGAAATCATTTATCTAGAGTTTGGAAAACACAGATGCTTCTGTTTTATAGGGAACTTATACTAGTTACATGGAAGCTAAGATCTTGGGAGTGATTTGCTGAAGGTCTCAGGAGAGCTGTTTGTAGAAGAGGAAACTTTTCAGCCTTGAGTGAATGGCCTGGGATAGCTCACATTTAAAATCTTATGTCTGAGGCTGGTTGAGAGAAGGTGATCTTTCTGGCTATGTTCTTCTCACCACTCTGCTTGTCTTCACAGACCTGTGATTTGTTTTCTCTGCTTGTTCCAGTGTCCAGCACTGTTGTGATCCTTTCTGAGACATAAAAATCTTTTCTTCATTTAGATGATTATACTCATCCCTTTTCCTTAGTTGGAAGTGCCTTTCTCCCACTCCATTGCCATCTTTATTTGTTCTGTAAATTCCACTGAGGGTATTGATATGATTGTGAGGACAGATAAGCTAAAAATCTGTCATCTGTACTAGTCTTGAGAAACCATGCACAACAGCAGCCTCTGTGTAGCTCAGAAGTCCTGTTTCCAATTGCTGGTTCTTACTTACATCAAAATTCTTTCTGTTGATGTGTGGAATTTTTGCGATTGATTTATGCAGTGTTTTACAGTTACCTTGGCTCAGATGAACAGAAATTACAATGGGTTGATAGCTGGGACTCCCTAACCCTGTCAGTTATCTCAGGCTTCTGAGACAATTCTGGAAATTTGTAACTTACAGAAGAAACAAGCAGTAAGAGGAAGATGCAGCCATCTCATTAGGCTGGAAAAAGTCAAGTGAGAGGAGCCCCAGTAATAAGACGATTGCCACACATTATATATAACCAAAAGTACTGTTCACCTGTACCTTAATTCAATTGAAATGAAATGTGTGTTTAGCCTTCAAACAAAGCAATCCAGCAGAAAGTATTGTTAGTTATTATTAATTAGCAATGTCTTTGAGTTCTTTCCATTTCTTGTACTTCCCATACAGATTTTTACCACTCATTATGCTACATGTAATTGAATCGGCTCGGAATATAGTCACTACAAAATCCGAATGTAAACATGTATATGTAAATCACCTGATCTTTTTCTTCTTAAAGACTGTGTTTGCAGACATAATTAAGGATAGCATAAAAACATCAGCGTAACCAACAGATGGCATTTTGTTTTTGATCATTACCAGTTTACCATCAAGCTATTTGCTTATGTTTACTCTGCACATCATAACAACAGAGGACAAGTTGTTTTTTTTTTTTCTCATTCCATTTCATTTTATTACTCTTGACAAGTTCTTCTCCGGAGGTGGTTCATGACTAATTAGCAGAACAGTTGCTGATGATCTGTAGGTGAACTGAACTGAAAGAGTTCTGCTCCATTAAAGATTTGATTTGAATTTTTTGAGTGTGAACACTTAACTGCTTTGTTGTATCCTGGTAAGTTACTGCTGAGTCCTAAGCATGATCATTTTTAGATTTTTGACTAAGATTCCAAGCAGGAAACAGAATGAAAAAAATTACTGTTCTATTTTCTTATTTATATGGAAGCCATTAGTGTATAAGGCGTATTGTAGGTCAGTCTGTGAATTAGGCAGCTCTCATAAAACAAGTGTTTCAGGGCAGAGTGGTTGTTATATGCTTTCACAGGTGCAAAAAGCATACGGAAACATTGTGAAATAACTGTTAATTTAGAGCAACCAGAAGAAAACATTTTTCTTAGAGAGTAGCTGTATGATAGGAGCTGCTGAAGGCTGGGAGAGTATTTTGATGAAGTGTCAAAACTTAGTTTGTATTTCATTCTTTAAACTGGCCAGTATAGCTTTTTGTCTGTGTTAAAATCTGGTTTTGTATGTTTGCATATGGTTGGATGCATGCATGCAAGCACGTATATACAAACACATGCGGTTCAAATCTGTGTTCCAGCAAGCTGCCTCTATTTAACTTTGAACTCTACCTTTGATGGTGGAATCTGACTTTTGAGAAATGCGATCTGTGAAAGACAGTTGTCAAAGTAAGCTAAACAGTACTCTGAAGGACCACTTGTTTCTATTGAATTTCTTGTAGTAACATCTAATCGTATGTAAATGCTAACTCTTTAAACTCTAGATAAAATAATAGCTCTCTTCATACTATTCAATAAGAAAAAAATGAGCAAATACGATACAAGCCAAGCATCATCTAAATTGTCCTTTTTTACAAAGATGTCTTAGAAATTACATGCAGGTACCAAGTATAGCTACAGTGAATATGGTATGATAGCAAAAAAACATGTAGCGAAGAGTAAAGACTGCCAGCACTTTACTTAATGGCTGAAATAATATGTGGCTTATTGTTTATGAAGGCTCGTTAAAATACCCTGCTTATGTTCTCTTTCTACTACTGCTTATCAGAATTACATACTTTTTGTTTACTTACAGTATGAAAGAGGCTGGTTTAGGCCATAAACAGTGGAGGGGTGGTCCCATTTCATCAAACTGCAAGCAGTGTCCAGTAGTTTATACCAATCCTGTTTGTGGATCAGATGGTCACACATATTCTTCTCAGGTAAGAATTAAATACAGAACTGAATTATACTTTCAATGTTCACTTCAATTCCAGCTCTTGGAACATAAAATACTGTATAGTAAAACAAATCTACGTTTATTTGTTTTAAATATATTCCTCACTTTCTTCAGCAACACTAGCACATCTTAAGACAAAAAGTCAAAATGGTGGCAAATCCCAAGCAGCACAGAACAGCAGTGCCCAAGGAAGCACAGTGCAGCAGTGCTCTGCAGCGTAGCAGAGCTCCACTGAAATGTATTTGCTACAGACACCAAGGCATGGTTTTTGAAGAGGAAGAAAAGTCTTGTGTGTCCTCAGTCTGTGGTCAGGTAAACCTTATAAATCAGATATTCCTGTTGGCCACTGACAGGATGCTTCCTATTCCAAGCCCAAAGGCATAGATGTACAATATGCAGAGGAAAAAAAGTAGTAATTTAAGTAATTGTTGTCAGTCGTCGCTTCTTTCATCAGCACTTTGCCCATTTTAAGAGTTTTCTGTCATACCTATCTGGAGACAGAATAATAATTCAAAAAGGCTATGGTCAGTCTAACTTGTTTTTTGTAGAGAAAAGATTTTGGTCACGCTGAAGCTCAAAAAGCCATGAGCCTGCTTTTGTACGGTGCTCAGCTCAAACTTACAGATGTCACTAGGAAATTGGGAGACTTCAAAATGCTGGAAACAAATGGATTGTTTTAGCATCTTCCTTACAACTTTCAGTAGAAGAAAGAAAAAATCAGGGTATAACTAATGTTTTCTCCATCTTGACAGTTCTTGTGCTTTTATCTTGAACCTGGTATTTTTATTTAACAACAACAACGCTTGAAGAACAATGTACGTGAATCTTAATTTTAACTGAAAATTCTCTAAAAATTAAGCTAAATACTCTCTATACCAGGTATCTGAAGCCCACTGAATTTTGGACGCCTTCTCTGGCTTAGCAGACATTCTGTCTTTTCAGAATCAATACGAGTTAGAGGTTTAATTTAAGTATTTGAATATGGTCTTGTTTTAATTCACAGTGATTTCCTGTGTTCTATCAAGAGCTTAAAATGTGCTTGCATCTTGTAACTAGACATCAGATTATATTTTTACCATTTCTTTTGCTGAATCATGTGATGATTCATGATCATGCCATTACATGAAGTACCAAGTCTAACGTTTACATAGCTATCAAAAAAAAAAGGCAGTCCCTGTGATTTTGTAGTTTAAGTACACAGGATTAGTAATTTGGGAGAATTAATATTGAAACTTAAGTGTTCTTTTTTTTAAGTGTTGTCAACTTTATCTATCACTATCTCTCCCAACAGTCTTCATAACATAACACAAGCATCACAACTGTTTTTCCTGTTTATTGGGTAGTTTTGTGTATTATCAATTTTATGTCTCACAGAGACCCTGGAGGAACTGTTGCTGCCTTTGAGGAGAACACAGGACAAGAATGAAAGCAGGCTTTAGTTATCATGATGTCGTGGGTTTCCTTGTCCTTGCCTTTGGGAGCTGGCATATTGTCTGAAGCAAGGAACAAAGCAGTTCTTTGTAACTTTTCTCTGACCACCATGCTGAGGCACAAGCAGTTGCTGATCTCAAAAAGAAGTATTGTAAAGGAAGGAGTGTTTTCTCACAAATTAAGCTGAAACTGTAGAACTAATTTTAAAAATGTTAAGAGCAGTCATTATAAAGTAAACAAAAAAAAAGGGGGGGAGGGTAAAAAAAAAAAAAAAAGAAGCAACCATGTGAGCATGAAAAGGCAAACCTGGATGCCCCCATTTCTTTTAATTGAAGAATGAGCTTCTCTAGCTGTATTTATTGTAGAGGAGGAAGAGAAGAAGCCAGCAGTTCTGTATTTGCACAGAAATTGTCTCTGTAGCTGTGAAGCAACCTGTGGTCATTTTTAGAATCAGTCTATTGCCCGTAATAAATTATTCTGAGATGTGCAGTATCTCGTATTGTTAAACCATGTGTGAACAAACTCTGAAATGCTAGCAGAAGATCTCGAAATTAATTCATTCTTTTCAGGAAGTGTGGGAAAAACTAATCAGGAATAATTGATCCATTTAGAATCAGGTAACTTCATTAATGTTGCATTCTGAACAGTCCTGTGAGTGAAAAGTAACCTTTATGGCTTCTCTGTGTCTGGTCTGAAGGAGATTCACAGAAGTCTATAAATAATGATGAGTTGCAGACATTTTTACTCAATTAATGTACTGAAGATAAGGTGAGGATGTGTTGCTTAAACAGAATGGTGAGAAAAGAATGGAATAAGTAGATGTACCCTGCTTCCCTTCCAGTGCATTGTCAGAGCTACAGTCATTCTAGTAGTACATATTATTCAATCTCTGTGCCCATTGAATGGATGTCAGACAAAGGTAACATGGCATCAGAGTGTGTTTGCAGGGCTCTTCCTTTCATATTTCACTACCACATAATGGTAGCGTCTAAATTTACAGCAGGAGAAAGCCTGAACAAAAAAATTAAAAAGTTAATGACAGCAGCTATGCATTATTATAAAGATTACATGTCTTTTTTTCAGTGGTGGTATGTTCTGAAATCCAGGGGTGGAGTTGCATCTAAGTAGAGGTCTCTGCAAGGTTATTTCAAGGGCAGTCATTTTTAAAGTTGATGTTAATATGAATGTTTTACTCCAGGCAAAGTCTGTTTTCATGGTGTCTGTCATCAAACTCCAGCAGGAGTTTATATATTAATTTTCTTTTGCTTATAATGCATTTGTCAATGACCGTGTCAAAATGTGCAATATATTTTCTGAAAATAAGTCAGTAAATGGTAAGTCAGCCAGCAACTTGCATTTATCCGAGTGGGACACCATGTTCATATAATCTCCCTTTTCAGGCCAAACCCATACAAATGACTTTATAAAATTATACAACTATGGATATTTCATGAATGTTGGTTTTTTTGCTTTGGAATGGAAAAAAGAGACTATAATGAGTAGGCATGAGTAAGGTTAACTTCTGAATTGAGCTTATCTGAGGTCAGGTAAGGTTGCTGTGTTTCACACTGATCTTTAACAGGCCATATTAAGGCTTTCCGTGCTCTCAGACCACAGTTATTCACCGGTAGTCAATATAGAGAAAAAAGAGCACTTAGGAAATACTAATTATTAACAGTACAGGAATGTTGTAATAAAACTTGCAGTTTAAAATGTATCAAAGTGAACATTAATTATTACGTGCGAAGAAATTCAGCATAAAGAGACCCGACAGTTTTATTGCCAGGGTGGCATTAATGCACAGCTTGTGGTTAATAGCTTTTAAAGAATATGTGTGTTTTAAGTTGCCTTAGTCTAGTTTTACATTCTGAGTTTCTCTATTCATGCACTGAATGAAGGTGGTGTATCTGTGGATAAGGTGATGACTGAGATGCTTGAAGCAATTCACTAATGCTGTAGCTATTATAAGCAGGACTTTGGAAAATACCACAAGAAAAAAAAAATAAAGATCACACATCAGAATAATAGGCTGAAGCTATATTTCTTAGGCTAATGGTGATTTGCACGTAGCCCCACTGTAACAAAACATATCCTTAAAAAAGATCTGTGAGCAATGATTTGAGCATTTTGAAAGGAAAATATCATGTAAGTCATTTCATTGGAATATGCTAGTTTGCCTATGATTTTATTATGGAATCATCTTGGCAGTAAGTTCTAGGTCTTCTGTCAACGACTTGCTTCAGTTGTTTTCATATTCACAATGAATTTTTTATGAAGTATTTTCTCTGCTTTATGTGAACACTTCATAATACTGATGACAATGCTGTGGGTATAAGTCGCATAAAAAAAATGTTATTTCACAAAAATAATGAGTCTAAACTTTATTCTCAGACTAAGATAGAAAAGATACAGAAGAGCAAGCGAAAGGATACGAATCCTTAACTTGACAAAGTTGTGGATGTTTTATTCAAGTACTTCAGTCTCTCAAATTATGGTCCCTCTGTCTTTTAGAGGGGAGAAAGTGGATGAGAAACAGATCATCTGCAAAAGAGGGAGTTTAGTACTGGTTCCTTAATGCTTGTTTGTTTGTTCATTGTTTTTCATAAGCCTAAATTCTAAGGACATCCCATTTTTTATTTCTTTTTTCAAATTGGTGCTGTTTGTATTGACTTCAGATGTGTTTAAGACTTTACTTATCTGCACGTCGAAGCTGTGTGTTAGATACAAGAGCTTGTTTGGAGAGAACGTAAAAGTATCAACATTTCAAATCCTTGCTTTTACTTTAATCATTACCCTGTTAGGAACGTTAAATCGATTAATTTATTTGTTAGCTTTTCCTGAGTTTTCAGGACACATGCCTGCACTACTGGCAATTCCTTTCTGCTTCAGAAGCAGTTATTCTAAAGCCATAGGTACTTATGAAAATATTCATAAATATTTTATTCAAATTAATCCCAGTTGTTATCTTGTGTGATCAGAATGTTAGGAGTGATCAGATATTTTAGTGACTGATCTAATTTGTTATGGTAAATGGAAGTAATATTCACGTACCTGCGTGTTTGTCAGTTAGTGTACAGAGCTAATCTAATACACTGGTTATTTCTTATGTGCGTTGTTACTCAGCTGTAGACCTAAATGAAACACAGCCAAAAGAAATAAGTTTTAAGTTTTACCTACTATCCTTAGAAACAAAATAATGTAATCTGAAATAAATCTCTTTGAAACATACTGGTCCACAGACTTGCAGTTGGAAAGAGAGAAAAAGCCACTTTCTTGAATACGATTCACTACTAGTCAGCATGATAAAAGGTGTATTGTCTGATTGATGCATCAAGTAAACTTTATCTGGTTAGGCTGATTTTCTCAGAAATGCTGGAAGCTCCATGTTTATTATTTAAATGTTTAAAAAGAAAGACTAATGCTAACAAACCAGATGGAGATTGTGTGGTGTTCCAGTCTTTGTAATCAGTGCCTTTTGCCAGTAATGCTTGAAGTTTTGTTTGGAACCAGAAGTGATAGGATAGGATATGATATTTTAAAAAGTCAGTCAGA